GTTAGGAAAGTGGAATTGGCTTCGCCCTGTGATTTTTTTTTTTGTACATTGAATGATCATCACTTTTGAGATGTGCTCCTACCTTAACCCAGTTAGTTCCAATGTTGCGTTATATATAGCTCAAGGCAAAATGCACATTTCAAGCCATCAGGTTATATATAGCTCAAGGTGAAATGTATACTTCAAACATTCAGTCATGTGGTTTGATAGTTGATTGACCATTAACCATTTCCTGAGCAAATTAGCAACTATTACTGTCCAATTTCTGCAAGTTATACTTTGATGATAAAAACATGCAAACTAGTCTTTTGATAATAAGCTGGTAGATAATCTGATGATTTATAGGAAGCTGTCCTGATGTCACCTTCTGAAGATACGAGTTAATGTCCGATACTTGAGTGTCTAAACCTTTTAGCCCCATCAACTGGTTTGTAATTCTTTGGGACAGGGTTCCAACTGTAGGGTCCTTAGTATCTCTAGAAAAAAGAGAATACTTGCAAAATCATGCATCTATTAAGCACCAATATTTCTGCTTCCTGTTGTGTGTAGCCATCAGTCTGAAAAGTGATTTGACAAGATCTGTAAATAGCAGTTTGCTTTTTAAGAAAAGTATCTATTATAGGAATATTTTAACTGCTGTGTGTACATTAATTTTTTGATAAAAATATGTTTAGAACCATAATGGTGTAGGTCGCTGTTTTGAGAAATGCCATTTTATTGCCAAAATATACTGAATATGAGTTTTTAAACATATACTAAATGTGTTTATAATATAGACAGAACTCAGAAAATTTTCTACTTGAAAATAAAGTTTTGCTGAAAACTAATATTAAATGCACATGTAAAACAAGAGAATGAAAACACACACACAAACACATACATACACACATACATACACACAAACACACACACAAACACATACATACATACATACATACATACATACATACATACATACATACATACATACATACATACATACATACACACACATACACACATACATACATACATACATACATACATACATACATACATACATACATACATACATACATACATACATACTTACATACATACATACTTACATACATACATACATACATACATACATACATACATACATACATACATACATACACACACATACACACATACACACACATACATAGACACATACATACATACATACATACATACATACATACATACATACATACATACATACATACTTACATACATACATACTTACATACATACATACATACATACATACATACATACATACATACATACATACATACATACATACATACATACATACATACATACACACACATACACACACATACATAGACACATACATACATACATACATACATACATACATACATACATACATACATACATACATACATACATACATACATACATACATAATGCCCATGTCTTGCTTTTCTCCCACTTGTCCTTTTTTAACTTTCACTTCTGTCCAAAAGGAGGAATCACTTCTCCCTAAAATTCATATCTAGTTTGACCCCTGGTCAATGTAGCTTATTCCATGCATAACAAACAGGAAGTATTAGCAGAGCATGAATGTCTTTATGGGAAAGTCATAATAATATATGTCAAGTACTTGCATGGAGATGCAGTCAGAGTGTGCCATTGTGCAAATCATGCAAAATTAGTATGCATTTGTACACTTGGAGAACAGTAAAATGCGAGAACTTCTGCAAATTTATTTTAAGTTCCTCATATCAACATATGCTGGGCCAATTATAGAATGCTTTTTTAGCTATCCATGTCACAACAACTGTTGTTTGAATAGCAACTTTCCACATCATGGATTCTTCAAGCACCTACATAAATGGTTGTGAAACTAATATGATTAGCACAACATGCCCAAGAATAAGCATTATGGCATGGTTTGAAGAAAGTTGTACAAATGCTTGTTTAAAATACAGGCAATCTAGTAAATCCAAAATGTATGCTTTCCAGCATGGTTCATTATGATTTAGTTTGGCAAATACGTACTGGTGATAGTGATGATGACAATTGTTTTTAAAGTTATAAAGTATATGATTACTGGAACTGGGAAATTGTTAATGGAGATACAAGTGAGTGATTTTGAGCCTGAAATTTTGTTTAATGTGAGTCAGATGTACATGCTAAATGGACAAAACACAGATGGCATGACCCTATCAGTGGTATTTCGAAATAAAATGTACAAAGGGCAGAATACTGAGCCTAATTAAAATGTAGACCATTTAAAAGTATAATATGATTTTCATTTTTGTTAATCAATTTTGCAATGTGGATCATATGCTACAAAACCATATGCATGTATCCATATCAGGGTTAAGATAATAAAATAAGGGACATAACAAATGACATTAAGAAGTACATATATTTCTTTTAATACCTCTTGTCTGTACAAGCAGTGAAGGACTAAATACCCTTATACAGCATTATAAATATATAGGAAATTTGGCATAGTAGTCAGTAAACTACTGATTTAACAAAGGAAGTTTATGTTAGTGGAAAACCCTTTTTTTTTAGCAGATGTATCCAAAAGATAATGTGTGCGCTCTAGAAAATTGTACATAACAGCCAACAGCCACAAAGGTGTTTCCCAATGTATTCAAGCAGACAAAGAAACACAGAACATTATTGATACAGAGAAAAAGAGCAAAGTATGCTCAGAATGAATTAACAGATTAATGTTTAAACAACTAGAGAGAGGTGACAATCTGTCAAAGATGTTGGTTTCAGGAGAGCTCTGAGAAAGTGGAGCAGGAAGAAAGATGTATTGAAGTTTAGGTAAATATTGACCTATGGCCATTTCTTCCTCACCCTCCTTTTTTCTTTGATAAAGAGGGAGGTCTCCCATATGATAAAATCTTGTCATCATATCTCCTTCAATTGTACATGGGGAATTTTTGTTTTTATGCAGAGATATTTAACCAGCAAATGAAGGTACTGATGGGATAAATGAAATTAGCAATGAATGAGCTATGATGCAGATTACAGATTACTTAAGTTTATCACCCTGTGTATGGTAAAGAAATTTTAGAATAGGACTGGATGTAGTCAGTAGTTTTCCTTCTCCACTAACAAAAAAAAGTACCTGTTGCTGCAGCAGTCTTCTGTGTTTGCAAAGTAAAATGTGATCGATTTTGTTTGTATTCAGCCTTATTTCCATGCCCAAAATTTGTTCTAGATGGGATTTTCTTTGCACCAGGAAATTGCATTATTTCTTCTGTTTTAAAGATAATATTGTAATATCTTCCAAATGTAAATGAAACACGAAATTGGTAATAAGATGTTTTCCAATCATTCATCTTATACAAGACAAAAGGATGTTAAATGGACCCACCATTATATGGCCTAAAATGTTGGATAAAACTCACTGCAACCAACAGGTAGTCTGTTTGAAAGTATTGTTGTTATCTTCTCATCAATTGCATATAAATATATAACTATGTTTATCTGTAGTCTGCAAACTGGACCAGAATGTCAACATACATGAAAGGGCACCTACCTTCCAATGGTAGAAAGACCATAAAGTTGATATGTGTATCGAAACGTATCGTTTCACAGGTTGTGTATCATGAATCGTATTGATACAAAACACAGGTATATAGTTTCACCTCTGTTAACTTCTTTCAATCACAGCAACCGTGACCTCTTCAAATCAGTTGGCTTTATTTTTAACCAATATGCAAACTGTCCACAAAGTTTTGAGTATTTGATGCAGAACTACTGTTATTGTGTAATTCTTTCAGTTACTTTTGGAATACAAGATCAATACGGTTCTTCCTTACCCCATGTGCAGACCATCCACAACGGCTGGTAACATTGGATAGTGGAGAATTCAGATTATTGTGCACCAGTCAGTTCCTCTTTGACCCAAAGTGACCTTGACCTTCAAATTTTTGGCTTTCAGATTGATAGTGATCCACATACATTTATAACTCTAAATGAAATAAGGATAGTTTGCAGAAACCACTTTTAGCTCAGCTGGTTATAGATCAGAAGAGCTTATGATATGGTCTGATGTCTATCATCCATGGCCAGTCCATTATTTAGCACAAACTTTTTATTGCTACTCTCCTAAACTACTTGGAGGATTCCCATGAAATTTTACACACATGGTCTAGTTGATCCTAAGTGAAAATGATGCCTACCTGATGTCCAGTATTGTCTCCACAGTGGTCATCTAAAAAATTTTGTTATACCAGCACTATTCCTGAATGAATAGTCATATAATCATGGGGTTCTCATAAATATATTCTAAATGAAAATGGTCTCTATCTGGCATCCAGTATGGCCACTACTGCAGCCATCTTGAAGAATTGGTTATCAATACTATTCCTGAATTGAAAGTCATTATTCTGCTGTCTGGTTGGCCTCAATGAAATTGGTGCCAGTCTTATATCCAGTATAGTCCACAGCAACCAAGTTGAAAATCTTGATCACTCTTTCTCCTACGTAGGTGGTTATATGAAGATGAGGTTTTCACTTAAAGATTTTTTTTATTGTATCTAGATGTTCCTGATGAAAATGGTACACGTGATGTCCAATATAACTGCTACAGTGGCCATCTTCAAAATCTTATGACTACTTCTGAATAAAAATTATTACTGGCATGGGGTTTTCACCAGAAGATTTATTATGTCAGGTTGGTACAAAATGAAAATGGTGCCACTTGCACATCCAATAGTGGCCATCTTGATTTCTAGTAGTAATGAAAATGGTGTAGATTTGACTTCCAATGTCCATCCTGAAAGTATTCATATGGCTAATTCTTCCAGATGGCTGACATGTCAATATGATGTGCTTTTGCAAAGAGACGTCTTATCATGTCTAGTTGGTTCTAAATAGAAATGGTGCCAACCTGAAGCCTATGGTCACCATAACAGCCATCTTAAACATATTATCATAACTTGTTCAAATCAGATAGTCATATCAACATGGCACTTGTTGGTTCTAAATTAATAAACTACTTCAGTGGCCTAGTGGTTAGAGCATCCACCTCGGATGCGGGAGGTCATGGGTTCGATCCTCAGCTGTGTCATACCAAGGATTTAACAAAATGGTACTAACAGCTGCCTTGCTTGGCACTCAGCATTAAGAGGTTAGTGTTAGGACTGGTTGGCTTGGTGTCAGGATAATGTGACTAGGTGGAACATCATGCCACATGTCTGTGGCATGATGCCACAGTGCTAAATATCACTATAAATTGTCACTCTACAGACATTATAGCAACATCATTGAAAAAATGTTAAAGATACGTTAAAATCTAAATCACACACACATACACACTAAATGAATACTTGTTCCTCCTAAATGAAAATGGTGCCAAATGATATCCAATATGTTTACCACATGAGCTATTTTGAAAATCTTATTATAGCTGAGGAATATCCAGTTCAAACACTCAGCAATTAATAGGAAGAAACAATCTTATCTTGACTTCCTGGAAATTATTTTTAGCAAGTTGAGCATCAGTTCCATTGAGGAGCCCTTGTTCAGTGTTTTTGACCATTTGACCACAGATTCAATAAGGTTCTTGCATACTTAAAGTGCATGCCTTATACAGTGTTTGTCAACTAGATGTGGAGAACTCTTGGTACTGTGTAAAAATCAGTTTTACTGGTCATATTAAAGGATTATGGGATAGCTATTCATTCCATGTCCATCTGTCTGTTACTGCTACTCTTTTAAAATGTCTTGGAGGATGGTCATGAAACTTGACACACATTTATTCCAAGGTCTAGATGATCCCAAATGAAAATGCTGCTCAGACAACCAGTATGGCCACCACAACAGCCATCTTGAAAGACTTATTGCTAATCCTCCTCAATGGATGATAATATCAACATAGGGTTTTCACTAAAGACTTTTTTTGATGACTTCATGGTCCTAAATTAAAATTATGCTGATATAACATCAAGTATGTCCACCATCTTGAAAATCTTGTTATCACTACTACGACTTAACAGTAAGTCATATTGACATGGGGTTTTCACCATAAGACTTGTTATAATGTCTGGTTGGTCCTAATTGAAAAATGTGCTGAATAGATGTCCAATATGGCCACTACAGCACCTGTGGATGGTTATATCAGTTTGGCATACCTGCAATAACATATGTAATACACAAAAAGTTGATTTTTTTTATTCACATACCCTTCATAAAATCTGAAAAACAGAATGTTCAGTAATCATTGGGAATAAATATAATATATACCTGTAACAAGTAGCTTGTGTAAACAGTAAACAGTCCTGCGTATAACTCATAAAAATATTCTTGGGACAACTTAAATAAAAGGCAAAGAAGTTAGAAACAACTTCATTTCATGTATTAATTGACTGTCAATAGCTAGGGTGATGTGTTAAGTTGTTGAAGACAGCTATGGGGGATCCCTGAGTGCTAGTTTGCATAGGTAAAGTTCACAATCAGAAGAAGCCAATTCATATTAAGCTATCAATCAAAGAGGTGCTAGCTGCATATAGAAGAACACATTATTGCCTTGATTGAGAATGTTTAAATTGCATTCAATTTTCAATGTTTAAATCTGCATTCAAGATTATTGGCAAGTTTGTTAACAGCCACAAGATTTCTTTGAAGTCAGATCTTGCTTCATATAAAAAACAAAAAGCATGATTATTTTAGTTTTCAGAATAGTATTCAAGTAAGACTTATTTTTTAAGCTGATTCAAGATGCAAAAAGCTATCAGCAAAGCAAAGCCCAGCAAAAATGTTTTGTAACTCTATCATTGACATAGTTTTGCTTTATAAAGGCTTTTAGTTCTTTGCACATATTACAAAACAACATAAACATCAACACAAATCATTATTAAATGCATGATGTCTGTCAAAATAGGAGCAACACATGCATGTAACATTTTCAATACATTGAATTGAACATTCAAATTAGTTATCTTTATTGCTGTTCATTAATCTTGTTAAAATAGTAACTATTAATTGACCCATGCTTTTCAATATTATTTTAGCAATGAAATAGATTGATTGAAGGATGGTAATATTCAGACATTTGTGTTTGCACAGTTGATTTGTGTTGATAACTTGTTAACACCCAAGCTGGGCAGAGGCATTTATTACTGCTGTGTTACCTGTAAAACACCAATTAAATTTGACAATATTATGTCTCCTTGACCTTTACCCCCATTCAGATGGTCAGTCTCAAAGGTGATGTATATTCATTTTTCTATTAAGACAAGCATATCGTTTAAACTACATCATATACAGTTTTGACAATGCTAACATTACGATTGTAAAGAAAAATTCAGTTCTGACTAGTATTCACTCAAAGAATCCAGCAGGGAAGTTGGAACAACAGTACCATCCAGTCATTATTGATTGCAAAGTTGAACACTAATGACACTATTATGAGCAACAAAGAGCACATCTAATTAAGTCTATATTTTGCCGTCCAGTGTATTTATTAATCAATCCTTGATGTATGGTATTGAATGTCATTACTGTTATGATTATGTGAGTGTTTCCTAAATGGAGAATAATACTTATATCCAGTATGGCCAACCTGGTGGCCATCTTGAAAATCCCAATGTCATCTTTCCTCCAGATTAATGGTCAGACTGATAGAGTTTTCACCAAGAATTCTTATGATACCTACTTCCTCCTTAATGAAAATGGTGCTCTGCAGACATCCAATATTAAAAATCTTGTCACTAAATCCCCTTAATGGATGGTCATCATGACATGGGGTTTTCACCAAATGTGTTCCATGGTGCTTAGTTTATCCTAAACGATAATGGTACATCATATGGCAAATACATCAGCTAATATGAAAATCTTAAAAGTGAAGAAAATCATATGGTTTAAACACTCTGCAATTAGAAAGAATAGTCTTGTGTTGAATCCCTGGAAATATTTTTGGACAGCAGAAAGTAACCATTCGATGGACTATTGGTCTTTACATGTGTGATGTGTCGAATTTTGAAAACTCTTAGAAGTATTGATTAAATGAATTGTACCAAAGTCAACTTAATTAAAGTAGAAAGGGCTAAAGACAGTTATATTATTCCCATTTCATCTCTGACCATCAAAGGAAATTCATTCCACGCGACGAAAGTTGACAGAGTCACCTGTTATGATACAAGGATTTTGGCATAACACTTTTAAAAATCAACCAGTTAAAAGGGGAAGCACATCAATAATGGATTGTTCAAAGGAACGTTAATTATGGCATGATTAGCTGTTTCGTCAATCAAAAATTGTACATAGAAGATTTTAGGAAACAGTCGATTCTGATTGGTTAATGGAAACTTAAGGGTGTAACTCTTGTAAGGAATTAGTGGTCCTACTTGGGAAAAATTCTTCAGTCTAGAATCTTGCTTGAGGAAAGTAAGACTGACTATGGGACGTAGAAAGTACATTCCCGTGATTGAGTAATGGGCCAGACACTTGTCTCGGATAGGAGACAGACTATATGTTGGAGGTTCATGGAAAACAAATAAGAAACAGCAAAGAAATCAGCTTCCTGAAATTTCCTGTGCAAATTCCAAATACATTCATCCGGAGAATTCCCCAGCTGGAGTCCAGGTCTAGAGACAATCGTCAAATCGTTAAAGTTTCAACTGGCAAGAGTCCAGGTCCAGACGACTAGACAAAGGTTGGCAGTGCAGTAGTGAATGGAAGATTTGATGTCCGGATAAGATAGGTCATTATGTCGTTCATCGTTGAACTCAAAGGTCATGACTCGTAGGCTATGATGAAACTGAATTAATTCTGTCACTGACAAGTAATCGTAACATGAAAATTTGTATTGTTTTTTTTTTAGTACATGTTAGTACATTTTCTTCTTTCGTAACAAAGAAATTATTTCTTCCATTTGAAATTCTGTTGTTGAATTGATTAAATTTTATATTTGTTCATTGAAAGGGGGCTCGTATTTATTTCTTTAATATACTTGTTCAGAGATCTGCATTCTTCTTTCTATCCATCCACACTGGGTAAATTACACTGCAGTAGGTCATTCCCTAGCAATGAACCGTAGTGAAAGAGGGTGCGTTTTGAACGCCATAAATTTACCACAACATGTCAAAGTTGATTTGGTTCCTAATTAAACCAAGTGCAAGCCACAACAAAGGTTGGTAACTGTAGATCGTAGACAAGTAATTTTTTTTAGTGGATGGATGGACAGATAACATCATAATACATGCTGCATTATGACAGGTGTATAAAACCAATTTTTCACTAAAACCCCAATGCACATAGTGTTCACTCCAATAATAGTTCATAGAAAAGGAATGACTGAAAGATATTAAGATTTATGCCAATGCTTACAAACTACATTTTATTTGTCACTTAAACTGCAAAAATTTTCTTTTTCAGAATGGGAACCATTTTTCTTCATTGATAAAGATTAATAATCTTTTGCAATTTATAGTCACTTTACTGTAGTAAGTACAGATGACACTCGATTAAAGCCATTAAAAGCATTCATAAGGTTATGGCATAAATCAAAAGTATTTTTTCACCATTTTGTATTTGTAAATTAAAGAAATTCTTGAGCAAATTATACCTCTAAGTTTTCAAAAAATGATTATTAATGCATAATTTTCTGTGAATGATAAGATACATGCACATGTACATGTGAGCTAATGTGAGTCACACATTAACAGTGATGGCATAAAAACAAGTACAGCTGTGCAAATTGAGTGTTATTTCTTCATTATATAGGGCATTAAAATGAAAGTAATCTGAACTGACATATAGTGAGAATCACCTGTATGTTCAACATAAAATATTCTTAGCAAAACAAAAACATCAGTCTTTGCAACATTTCTTTATAAAGAGTTATTCTTTCAGAAAAATGGTGGTACATTTTTTTTTAAAAAAAAGTTCTTTCTATCTCTGACATGAGGTGAAATGTCATTTACCTCAGCTTTTTTCAACCATATACTGTATGCGCTTACTTTTATGTCAAATCCATCTGCAAACTGCACAGATCCAGATCTGCAGTTGTAAATGCAATGACAAATCTGGGTCTATACAGTTTGTTAGGATAATCAGTAGAATGAACAAGACATACATTAATCTGTCAGTGCATTCTGTGTTGGCAGATCAAGATGTTGAACTAGTATTAGCAGCTCTTGTTCTTAAGGGGGTACTCACCAGCTAAGGTGTACTTTTGAGGAGAGTGATGTAAGTAAGGTGAAGTTGTTGTTGTTGTTGTTGTTGTTCTGGGGTTTAACGCCATTTTTCAGCACAGGAAAGGCTATACATGGTGGCCAGTATTAATGGTGGAGGAAGAAACCGGGAAATCACCGGAAAGAACCACCGACCCACGAGAAGCTACTGGCAAGCTCTCTCACATATCCACATTCGCCGAATCTTAGACTCGAACCCACGCAGATAGAGGTGAAGTTGTTTGCTTTTGAAACATTTACAGTGGAGAGAATGTTGGCATACCTCTATACAACTTTTATGTAATATGGCTGACATTTCTTTGGATACTGTATTTATGGAAAAGTGACTGCTCCCTTGTCCTAAAATAAAAATCAGCCTGAATTATTCTAAAGTACACTATCTTTAGCACCTGTTAAAATCGGGAAATGAATTTTGCCCAGCTAGACAATACCAGCTTCTGAAATGGATGAATTATACAAAATATTAACCGCTCCAGTGGCCCAGTGGTTAGAGTGTCCGCCTTGTATGCAGGAGGTCGTTGGTTTGATCCATGGTCGAGTCATTTTTTAAGTCTTTAAAAAATGGTACTAACAGCTGCCTCGCTTGACGCTCAGCACAAAGAGGTTAGTGTTAGGATTGTTTGGCCTGGTGTCAGGATAATGTGACTGGGTGGGACATCATGCTACATGTCTGTGGCACAATGCCCCAGTGCTAGACATCACTAAACTGCCACACAGCAGACATTGTATCGATATGACTGACAAATTGTTAAAGCTACATTAAAAATCATAGTCACATCACATATAAAATGTAAATAAAGTGAAAATGACCAAGTAAAGCTAGAACTATTTTGAAAGGTGTACATCTGGAGTAATGCCAAGCTGTATACTCAACACCCCATATTACAAACATTAATCATACACCTAAATAAAGGGAATTAAAGGTTCTTTGAACAATACCTAAGATATCCAAGGTCTTTTTTTAAATAGCCAGTACAACCAGTGAGGAAACCCAGGGAAATTCTTTTTCTTAACATTCTAACCCTATGCAAAATATGAGACTGTAGAGTACCACCTAAATAAACACCATCAAATTGAAATTTTAAAAAATGATTTTTATATTCTGTTTTCAAATTTAACTTTTAACATTTACTTCTTAACTGAGGTTTTAATCATGTAAAGTTCTGTTATGTAATGACTCAAAATTAGTATAACTTTTAATTCCTTATTCATGTATATTTTTAATTATTAATGACAATAAAAAATAATAATTTTCAAACAACTAGAAATATAATAACTTGATTCTTTCCCACTTATGAATCATTGTTAAACTTTATTTCAGATGAAATGTCAGTAACTTGACAAGATATCTGTCCATAATTCATAAATACATTGCCAGTGTAGACCTATACAGTAAACCCTTGTAAATCCAGACACCATTGTTTTCCGATTGTCTTGGTATCCCAATGATAGTTTCTGTGAACAGATTTCCCTATAATTACTTATTGTGATCAGTGCATCTGGATTCCTTGGGAACAAAGTGTGAATCAGTTCACTATGATAGTCTTCTCACATATACCCAAAAAACTGGGACATTAGATTTGGGTGAATTCTTGCTGGAGCTAGGTTCTTTTGTACATGTTAACTCAACAGTCCAAACAACATAGATCAAAATTGTTCAAAACAGGTTGGGGCTATGAATGTTATGTTAATGATCATGAGAACATTATCAAATTAGTTAACATTTTTAATGTATAACTTGTATTTTTAAAACCTTGAACTAAAACATTAGAACTCTGGTTTCAATGGAAACCTTTCTTAACAGGCATTCAAGATGTGTTCAGGGTTTGTTTGTTTCAGCATTACAGGTGAAGTCTATTTATCTTAATATGGTCTGCAAATATTAATATTTTTGTATACTCATATTTAAATAAATTAAACCATATTGTAATGAAACACTATTAAAGGTTGTTACAATGTTCCTCAGGCAGCAATTATACTGATTAAGATTAGGGATACTATAAGTCTCTGTGCATGATAATTATTTTCTAAAGTAATTTTAATGACCTATAAATGTTGAGAAAAGAAATTATAGCACTTTTTCATGTATCAAAGTTTCTGGACACGTTCAACATTTTTTTGTACTAATCATTATCAATCAGAACATCATTTTTAAAACAAAAAAAATATGATGTTGCTGCTGTTGAGAGGCTAACATTATGAATTATTACTTGGAAATTTTATAAATTAATATAATTTGTTCAAAAAGTCAATAAACATATTTAATGTCCTGTGTTTTCATATTATTTATACTTCATTCAAATATTATAATTTGATTGGACAGTGAGAAAATAGGGTTGTTTAGCAAGCAATAAATATTATATGATGTCATTTACCCACTAGGCATTGCACCATTGACTATGATGTTTTCAGACAAGTGTGATACAGATTTCAGTAACCTTTACTGATGTTCCATTTTCATCTAAGTGTTAATGTGTATGTGTGTGTGTGTTGTTGTTGTTGAAGAGGGACTTTTAATTATGGTTGTGAAACAATTTTGTTATGGAAATTGGACTGACTGTTCCTGCAGTTAAGCACTTATTTACCCAGTGAAGATAACAATAATAATAGTAATAATAATGACAATAATTATCATTGTTTTTGTTATAATGTGATCTTACGATGTCTTATAAGTCTCTGGAAGTGAATTTCAAGAATAAGTACATTAAAATAAATTGTTTAAACTGTGCCCATTGAATTAGAGTAAAACAAACTAACCCTTTCAAAATCAATCTTAAACACCCCACTCTTCTGAAAAATCCTGTGATTTTAAATGACAGTATAAATTATTACCCACTATTATATGACATGGTACTTAATCATTTAATTGCCATCATGTTACAGAATGATACAAAGACCCAAGTGCCTGAACTGAGAAAATAAATTATAAGTTCACATATCTTTTTTTACCATACTCTTTATGAAAATACTAAATAATATTTTGACTGAAATTTAGGTGAGTAGGGGGAGCTCCATCGGTGTGTACACGTATTATTTTTAAAAATCTATAAGTAAAATTGTTAAATTGTTCAATGTACAATAAAACATGAAAATCAATATATATATATATATATATATATATATATATATATATATATATATATATATATATATATATATATATATATATATATATATATATATTGAATCTAAAATGGATCTTTAAAAAAAGTTTATGCACATAAGTATTTTAGTGCATTCAATCACAATAATTAGCTAATAAATAGTGTTTAAGTTATATGAATAAAACATTAACCATCACGAAAAGCATTTAAATTAAGCCACTTTAAAAGACATCAATCATTAATTACTGCTCCATTATATTGATAAAAAAAATATTTGCTTTATTCATTTTCTCAATATTACAGTATTCTATAATTTAGATAATGGTACTGGCCAGTTCTATTATTATTTTTTTTTTTGTTCGAAACTTGAGGAGTGGGGTGGCGGTACATTATAATTTTAGATTTCGGAGTGTTTCGTAACGTCACACAAAGAGTCATGCTAAACTATTTAGCGGGTTGTTTTACGCTATCTTTTGTCTTTAGTTTTATTTGTTTTGTTTAAAATGCATTTGAAAATTTTGTATCGACTCACTAGTAATTACATTTTTAATTTGTCTTAAAAGTGTAAATATCTAACTCATTAAAGTGCTACCCGTATGACAACAACGACCGGGTTTGTTAAATGTTGGCATTTTTGTATAGTTAACATCTGACAACATGGCGTCAATGCGTGTAGATTAAAGATTTTAATTTGCAGTAAATGATGTACATCCCTTAAAATCAAATCGTTGGCACCACGGCACTAAACATAATTAATATCTACAAAATACAATAAAGAGTCTTCATAAACAAAGCTTCGAAAATGTTCAAGTGATAAAAAAAAGAAAAAGTTGTAATTTGCTTTGATGTAAGCGACAGTACCGGTTACAACGCTACGGTAATTTTACTAATATTAGAGAAAAATGGCAGAACCAGACAAAATTCCTACTCTACACACGCCCATTTCCTAGTTTAAACGATTAACTAGCATCGATCGTTATCGTAAAACAGATTACAAATCTGCCAATTATAAATGAAGGAGACGCCATTGTCCTACAATGTAAAACATCGACCTTAATATTTGTATTTTTGAGCCGACCAGAAACATGAATATCAGGGTAGAAATCATACATTGTATGATTAGAGACGCCGAAACAAACAGCTGGCAATTTGTGGAAAATTACGATTTCTTAAGAGGAAACACAAAATGGATTGAAGATGATCAAAGTCGATATTAGAACAACAAACAACAGTTTATCCGCTTTTTGTCCACGTCATTACCACAGGGGCTCATATCGTGGCTTACAGTTTATTAGCTACGATGTCGTAGCCTCAACTTATTTTCCACAAAAGGACTAAGGTACTAATATTAGTACTAACAGCTTACCTGTCATACATGTACTATTAGCTACGATGTAGCCTCAACTTGTTTTGATGTGGTTGAGGTAGGACTAAGGTACTAATATTAGTACTAATGTACTATATAATAATAATTATTGTAAAGTGCATATATGACAGGTAAATTGTAAGCAACGATACGAACCCCTCTGGTCATTATTACTGGTAGCAATTAAGAAGAATAAAAAAACACAGCGGAGATCTACTTATTGGTCTAAGTGGATCTACATTCCGAATTATAACTTGTATTTTGATCATTCTTTCATGAACTTATGACTGTTGTGGGAATATATCCTGGTTATATGCCCGTACAATTAAACACTTTTTACCTTTTACCTTTTACTTAGACCACTGAAAATCAACAACTTGTCAATTTGTAGCTCGTCAGAAATGAAATAGCTATTTACATTTAGTTGAATTGTAATCAGGAAGAATGCGATTTGGTAAAAACAATGAATAAAGCAAAATTTTCATCTATTTTTGTTGGGGCGGGGGCAGGAATAACAAGGATGTAAGTGACGCTAAGCAGGATTTGCACTGTGTAAGTAACGTACATTGCAATCTCTGTCTTCTGACACTTACCTTCATATTTAGACATTTCTGTTGAAAATATCAATAATGGGGTGGCAAGGATCCGGGGGAGGGGCTCAGACTTATATGTATAATATAGTACAAGTGTAAAATCAAATGAATTAATAAGTCTTGATGTACCTATATTTTATTTCATGCTGGAGAAATCGGAAAAATATGCATATGCAAAATAATAAAAGAAACGGTCATAATACAGTTGTTTACTGACAAGTTTACTGAAAGAGTAGTCAGAATTTCCTTAGACCATGCCACCCCATGTTTGTTAGTTGGACATTGGGGAGGTATGGGTCAGAAGAAACTCAGATTATTGAAAGAGTTTGCCACTGTGATGTATGTCAATCTTGTCAATTTTGTCTTGATATCTTTTGTTTCTATAAATGAGTCACAGAAAATAAAGTTATGTAGCTTGACAAGTGTTTAATGCTTAGTATTACATGCTTTCAAGCCAAAAACTAGGTCTCACTAACCTA